CTTTCGAACGAAGCCATAAAATTTTTTCGCCCATTTGTTTTCTTTTTGTTTTATTTTTTTCTATCAATACATATACATACGCACACACGCGCGCTCAAACACACATAAACACACACATACACACGCAAATACACATGTACATAGTTCATCCTCTAATCATGCGTAATACCTAATCTTTCATATAAAGTAACCTTATAGCTGATCAGTAGAAAAAATTGTTGATTAAAATCTGTTGATAAATGAAGGTCAACAACGACAATTTAAAGAGGCTAAACTTTAGCGTGAAGCAACCGTATACTTTATTACACATCGAATGTATACATACTTTACCACTGACATAATTTAACATTTGATAATTTTTGTATGTAAAAATAATTGATTTCTTATTTAATTCGTCTATTGAATTAATATAATCAAAATTTTATGAATCAATGCGAAATTTTTAATTAATGAATAAAGTCAGTAAATGAAATACAGCGTAAGCATCTAATAATGAATGACTATAGTCATCTTTGGTAATGGAAGGATTAACCGTATATTTTTATAATCCTTCTTTCTTTTTTTTATTTTTTTTGTTTTTTTTTTTTTTTTACTTCATAATCTATTTTATCATAACGCAAGAGGGGTGCAACGTGTGATAGTGCGCAATTGTTCATTCAAGCATAGATATAAGACCATTAATACCGGTAAGCACGTGTTGAGAATCGCGTGGATAAAAGAGTTCCGCCAAGAACGTTATGACGGAGGGAGTCAGAAAGAAAGAAAGATAGTAGATATAGTGAAAGAACGAAACAGAATTACAGGTGTATACCTCTCTCTTTCTCTCTTTCTCTTTCTCTTTCTCTCTCTTTCTCTGTGTTCGCGCAAGCGTATAGGTACGTGTGTGTATGTGTGTATGTAAATGTGTGTTCATGAGAAAAAGAAAAAAGAAATGAAAAAAAAGAGTAAGTGAGAGAAAAAGAGAGAGAGAGAGGAAAAAAGAGAGCGAGAGAGAAAGAGAGAGAGAGAGAGAGAGGAAAAAGAGAGCGAGAGAGAAAGAGAGAGAGAGAGAGAGGAAAAAGAGAGCGAGAGAGAAAGAGAGAGAGAGAGAAAGAGAGAGGAAAAAAGAGAGCGAGAGAATGCGATATAGTGCGAGGGAGTGCGGAAGGGTCTTTAGATGTGTGTGTTCATGGAAAGGAGAAAAAATACAAATGAATAGAAACAGAAGGAAAGAGAAAGAAAGAGAATAAAAAGAGAGAAAAGAATGAGAGTCAGTGGAGGGAGAAGGTAAAGGTGTACAGGGATTGATATTGATTTCAACCACGCGCTGTTGGCAGGCAGTCAGTTAGAAACTAGGCGTTCTTCAAGCAGGAGGTCCACTATAAAATGCCTTCAAAGTGTAACAACAAAGATAATAATCAAGATCTTCCTGAAAGAACATCATGTATCGGTGACAGGATAAAGGATCCCCTTGTCAGTTTAGCGGTGACTACCATCGGTGCGTTTTACTTTTTCCTCTCTTCTTATCGTGCCATTGGTACTGACAGACGATTTTTAAGAAAACAACGTAATGAACTTAACAAGGAAAAATTACAGCGATCATCGATTTATTTGAAAATCGATTGGAAATCCCTCGCTAGTCATATCAAATGTTTTTTAATTATCGTTCGTAGAAACAATGATGGTTATCTTAGGCGGGAAAATTTCTTCTGATCTTACGATCTTAAAATATGAAAGGGAGGGGGAGAGAAAGAGAGAGAGAGAGAGAGAGAGAGAAAGAGAGATTAGGATTGTATAATCTCATATCGTTGAAGTTCACATACACTTTTAGACGATTCTTTTTGATAAGTCTATAAATGTAAACAATGTTGTGATATAATCTATTGTTTTTTTTGTTAACAATACATAATAATAGTTTCTGTTAATTGTTAAGTAAATGCGTTAATGATTCATATGTCATGTTGCTTGTTCGAACTGATATATATATATATATATATCAGTTTGAAATAAAGATCAGTATATATATATATATTGATCTTTATATAAAAATTAGTGTTTTTTTTTATTTATATATTCTTTGATTATTTTTATTTGAATTTTTATTTGAATTTATATCTTGAATGATAATCGAAATTTTATTGTATGTAAAATTAATAATCAATATGTAATTCTGTCAATGTAATGTACATTAATTTTAATCACTTAAAATTTTTTATTAATTTTTTGAACTTTCGATTTCACTTTTAATAACGTATATTAAACCATAAGGATAAATTCACTTGCACGCATGGATAAATGGACATCTGGCCATACGTAGAATCGCCTTTTGCCGATCGTACGAAAGCCAATATGGTGTTGTACGAAGAAATTTTGGAACACATTAATTTTTTTGTTCATATAAAAAATTTTCTTTTATCAATATAAAATTTGCACGTATACTTATGTCAAATTAAAGCTTTTCATAACTTGTTAATCAACAAATATATCACATAACAGTTATGTTTATAAAAATAAATGTAACATATATTACGAAATGTTTTATTTAATTTTATACAAAGACAAATAATGTATGAAATTATAAACAAGTAGATATATGCAAATATTATTCATACATTCATCAGCGAAAATAGAAAATATTTTAGTTTATTTTAATTTACATAATATAGGTATGTGTGTGTATAGTATAGGTATTTGTATGTATGTATCAATTACACAGCTCATCGCTATTCATTATCCATAGTATGTGTATCACATTCGTTGTTAAAAAGCAAAGGATTCAAACAAATGACAAATATTATCAATAATTATTAGTCAGACCTTTAATTCTGACTTTAGAATGTTGGGTTGAAGGTCACTAAGAAGATTTATTAAACTATATTCGTAAGTCGTGTCTACCGAACACAATAACGAATCATCCTCGTCGTCGTCATCATCGTCGTCTTTTTCTGTAGTTATAACTTATATACAATAGTGGTTGCGCTTGGTATGATGGAGTAATTTAATGGTAGCGCTATTAGGATAGTAGAAGAGGAAAGGGTAATATACGAATTGAATCGTTTCATCCAGGCTACGCGGTTTTGATCATACACAGTACAGGAGATCGATCAGTCACGAATCAGGCGTACTTCTGAACAGTCAGACCAGACTCAAATGTTTTCTAAGATCAAAGAGATTGATAAACGCATCGATAATATTTTCTCAGTCGGCAATACGGTCAAGGATTTGTACGAATTTATACTTATTACATCGTCATTTCGAGCTGTACGTGTAAATAAACATTTTGTTTATATCTTTTCCGAAAGTGAACGAACGGACGAATGAATGTGCTCGCGCAAGTGTGTGTATGTGTGTGTGTGTGCGCGCACGCGTATATATATTCATATAAACTTATTTTATTTTTTCTTATAACTAATTCGAGATCGACATAATTACGAATTGATATTTCCTTTATGATTGTTCTTTTTAATCATATTTTCTTTCAAATATTTACTTTATTATCATTATCATTATTATTATTATTATTATTATTATTATTATTATTATTATTATTATTATTGTTATTGTTATTATTATTATTATTATTAGTAGTAGTAGTAGTAATAGTAATAGTAATAGTAGTAGTAGTAGTAGTAGTAGTAGTAGTAGTAATAGTAATAGTAGTAGTAGTAGTAGTAGTAGTAGTAGTAGTAGTAGTAGTAGTAGTAGTAGTAATAGTAGTAGTAGTAGTAGTAGTAGTGGTAGTAGTAGTAGTAGTAGTAGTAGTAGTAGTAGTAGTAGTAGTAGTAGTAGTAGTAGTAATAGTAGTAGTAGTAGTAGTAGTAGTAGTGGTAGTGGTAGTGGTAGTGGTAGTGGTAGTGGTAGTGGTAGTGGTAGTAGTAGTAGTAGTAGTAGTGGTAGTAGTAGTAGTAGTAGTAGTAGTAGTAGTAGTAGTAGTAGTAGTAGTGGTAGTGGTAGTAGTAGTGGTAGTAGTAGTAGTAGTGGTAGTAGTAGTAGTAGTGGTAGTAGTAGTAGTAGTAGTAGTAGTGGTAGTAGTAGTAGTAGTAGTAGTAGTAGTGGTGGTAGTAGTAGTAGTAGTAATAGTAATAGTAGTAGTAATAGTAGTAGTAATAGTAGTAGTAATAGTAGTAGTAATAGTAGTAGTAATAGTAGTAGTAATAGTAGTAGTAATAGTAGTAGTAATAGTAGTAGTAATAATAGTAGTAATAGTAGTAGTAATAGTAGTAGTAATAATAGTAGTAATAGTAGTAGTAATAATAGTAGTAATAGTAGTAGTAATAGTAGTAGTAATAGTAGTAGTAATAATAGTAGTAATAGTAGTAGTAATAGTAGTAGTAATAGTAGTAGTAATAATAGTAGTAATAGTAGTAGTAATAATAGTAGTAATAGTAGTAGTAATAGTAGTAGTAATAGTAGTAGTAATAGCAATTGTAATTTTTTAAGTGTTTATAAAGATAAAGAGCAATATCATATCTCGAATAAAATCGTTAAGTAGATTGAAGGTAATATTCTGTCAGAACTCTTATCTTATAATTAGTTTTGTAACATCCGCTCGTCCTATTACATCGATAGTTTCATTTATCGTACATAAAAAAATATAACGAGTTTACGTATGAAGAAATCACAAATCGATTTTATTTCTGACAATATGAATTCGTAAATAAAGTAAGTATGCAATCATGTACAGTATGTTATTATCTTAATTTTTTTTTCAAACTTGTTTATCATCATGATGCATCGAAATTATACATCATTCATCCTTATTATGCATCGAAATGTTCGGTGTTGCATTCTAATATTTGATTTTACATTGTATATTTTAATATATTAAAAATTTTATGATCATACTTATTAAAATTCTTCATATAAAAGATCATTAATATTTCTTCAAATATATGAGTCATATCATAAGATTTTTTTTTCTCGTTCAAGTACACGTATCGAATGTTCTTTTAATTCTATCTATGATTAAACAAACAGTTGGTTATCATATGTGATTATATTGATCATTAGTTAAAATTCATGATACGAAAACTGATAATAAGATATGTAATGTTTACTCGTCAATGTGATTTCCTATCATGCTTGTCATTTTATTTTTTTATTTATTTGTTTCTTTTTTTCCTTCGTATTAACATTTGATGATGGATCGTATAAAATTCGTGAAATTTATTCTGATAATTGAAGTGAATCATTAATTTTCTCAGAAGATGAATAAATTGATAATATTTCAACAATTTTTAAAAAAAGATTACGAACATAAAAAAGAAAATATCAAAAATAATTCATTGAAACGATGTCACCTGAGTTTAAACGATTAAATCAATAATAATAAGACAAGCTTGTAATAAATTAACGTGGAGTTAATATTGACTGATTGACCCAACTAGCACGATCTCCGGTCTTTTTTATATATATATTATAATCTGCCATTTCTTCATGTGAACCTCAGCGCCATAGGTTAGCGAGGTTAATTGGTACTGCCTGTCAGCTATGACTACTAGGATGATTAAAGATTTAATGTTCACTCTCTTTGATATTATACAATAATTTTAATGTATGAATCCATTAGAAAAATACATATAAGATTTTTAATTATATGTATTAATTATACACAGAAACATACGTCAAATTTTTATGTTAGAAATAATCATTTTCTTTTTTATTGCATTATATAAGATGCATATATATACATATATTTAAAAGGACATAATAATAATTGATAGGAAATATGTGAACGATTAACATTAAAATGAAATATTTATTGCAAAATAGAAATGTGTTTTGCAAATTGTAAGAAAATAGAACTGAAATTAGCGCTTCTCATTGTAAAATTACAGAGAGGATATGTGCTGCGCTCTCTAATCTGCACAAACGTCTTATTTCTCTTTTGAGGTTATGACGATCAATAGTATCGTATAATAAAATTTTTAACTAATCTGATATTAGTAAATAATTATCAAACATGGTTTTACATATAAAAGGTTTATTACCACCTCGCAAATTTGTACTCTTATGTTTTCAGTGTTCTTTATGTAAGTTGTATTTAATTTTTGTTGAAAATTAGTGCAATAATTTCTACATTTTATCTGTATCTTATCAGTCACGTGTATGATATTTTGAATATCGGAAGTTTAAAAATTTATAGTTCTAAATTTTAAAATACAAAAGTCATTATTTATCATTGAATATATATATATAATAAAGTATTGAATATATATATATATAATAAAGTAATGAAAAACTTTTTCATGCTATATTAATAATTAGAGTTTATACATTTCAAATTAAATTAATATTTATATAGAATTATTTGGAGAATGTGTTTGATTATTAAAATAGATAAAGTATTAGGGCAATTTGAAAAATTCACGGCTTTCTTTTTTTATTAATCTATAAATTTTATTTTTAGGATGAAACACATCTTATAATGAAAAATAAAATCATGAATTTTTAAAAACAATATTCAATTCATTCTTCATGAAATATTTATTTTTAACATATAAATTTTAATCTGATAACATATATAAGATTTAAAAGTTAAAAGAAATATATATGATTTAAGAAATGCTATGCATCAATATGAGCTGAAAAATTCATAGTTAAAATAATAAAATATTTTTCGTAATATATAAGAATTGTTAAATATTATTTCATGATATTCTTGTTTTATGAAAATAGAACAATTATTATAGTAATACAATGAAAATTTTTATTTTACAAACTTTTTCTTGATTTCTTTTTTTAATACTTTATATAAATATAAGTTTATTGTTTTTTTTTTTTAAAAGATCTAAATAAACATTAAATTGTAGATATAATTTACTTTGTTATTAAAATACCAACCTCATTTGTAATATTTTTAAAAATAATGATAAAGCAAATTTAAAAGTAAATGTTTAAATATTTTTGTGTTATATTTCAAATATTTTTTGTATTAACCTTTATTCTGAATTTTAAATTGTTATTATGAAGTGTTATATTAAAAAAAAAAACAATCGTTTGTAAAAATGTTCCCAAATTTTATATAATTATTTATAATAGTGCAATAATGTCATATTTATATATATATATTTTTTTTTACAGGTCGCCAAGCTATGTTAAATAAATTTTGGAATTATGAAATCTTACAAAAATACTTTCACACAAAATCAGAGCCACCACATGTACAATTATTTTCTCAACCAAAATGTCAAATATACGTGGCTACCTGGTATTTACTTTATCGTTGGTTGGTATTCATCGCCTGGATCAGTATTATCTTTTGCTCAATTTTCGAATTCGGAAGTTACGAACCTCTTTTCAAATGGCAAAAATGGCCGATTTATTTGACGAATTGGGATTTGCTATTGGGAGTAACACAAGCGTTTCTAGGAGCCATAATAGTTTTTAGAAGATGGAGACAACAAAAGGATGCAGACTTCAATCCTTATAATATGAAATTAACGATGTTAGAAAAGTCCTATTGGATTTTCTATACTGTGACGTCTACTTTAGCTGTGGGTGTGACTATTACTTATTGGACTGCAGTATACAATCCTAAAATTCATCATATAGATCCATTAAATATCTTATTACATGTTTGTAATAGTATTTTAATGTTTATAGATTTATCTATCACAAGTGTTCCATTGTATATGAAAAATGTTTGGTGGTGCCTTATTATAATATTATTTTATGTAATATTTTCTGTAATATATTATGCAGCAGGTGGTTTGGATAAATATGGATATCATTATATTTACAAAATTCTTGATTGGGAAAAACCAGGTCAAACATTAATAATATGTATAGCTGGTATGGCATTTATTATATTAATGCATTTGATACTGTGTTTTTTTAGTAAAGCCAGAGACTGGTTGTACGCTAGAATTGCTAAAAAATTCCACAATATTCCTTCAATGACGAAAATCGATTATACTGTAACAAAAAAAGAAGCAGAAATTGTTTGATTAGTGAAATATTTGTAATAAGTTGGTGTATTGATATTTAAATCCACATACTTGATAAGTGTTGAAGCATTCCTATTACTGTTTATTCCAATGGTCTTCATCTGATATGAAATTTAGAATTAAATATCATAGTACATTATACATTTATCTTGCTATTGATATCTTCAAAGTTTCTTAATTAAAGATTATCTTAAAGTTTCGTTTATAATTCAGTATTTTACAATGATATTAGAATAATATGCAAGATCAGTTTCAACATGTATGTTTATTTATATAGATCTTCTTTTTTTCTTTTATCATCTGTCAATATTGTCTTATTTAATGGTATTATCAGACGAATTTGAAAATTATATCTATTATCAATATACAACTCATTCATGCTTCTTTTCATTCATGTATTTATCAATATGTCATTTGATAATATTATTGCAAAAATGATTTCGCATACCTCGCTTTATGATAAATCTTAGAATAGATATTTTTTAAATATTACATAAAAAGATGTACTTTGTATGTGCATAAAAAAGTTCCTTGATTTTGTAGAAAAGTATTCATTATTATAATCAAATAATGAGCGATTGTAACATTAACATTTAATCTTAATTTTTGTATACACATTTATTGTATACAAAACAACGAATATTTAACCATTGTCAAAAAAAATTTCGTATAGAAAAATAAAATAATAAGTAGACTATAATGTTTATGAAAAAATATCAACAATTTATTAATAAAATAACGATGTGTAAAGCAATTATGGACTGTTATACAAATAAATCGTGGGCTCAAAATGGCCCTCAATCACAGACCATATTCAATTCTACACTATACTTAAAATAATAGTGACCATTTTTTTTTTTTTAGTAATATTGAAACATTTAACACATTATTCAAGACCACGCAAATTTACAGCACTTTCTGATGGTCCTGAGTCAAGTAATAAAACTTGATATTCTGTTCCTCCCACATCATCTTGATAATACATTGATGGTAATTCTTCAGTAAACAATAATTCTTCTTCCATGTCACTTGCACCTAATATAACATCCGATGCTCCTGCAACAGAGTTCATTGATGCACTATTTGTTTTTAATTTCCACACATCTGAAAATGTTAAACTGGTCCTTGCAGAGCCATGATCTTTTCTGAGATTTGATTGCAATAATTGTTCATTCATTGCATTTTCATGGATAGAATCATTTCTTAGCACTGTGCTTAAGAGAGGTGGTTGCGTTTCAGGCAAAGAATTCATTTCCGAAGATGCGCTAACGATAACAGCATCGCAAGGTGTTACCATGATCATTTGTTCTGTGGTTTCTGATGTGGAAGAAGGTGTAGCATATAAAATGTAGTCCGTATTAGCAGTTGTAATGTCTGTTAGTCTACTTTTTAATGATTTATCACAATCTCCAATAGGTGTACCATGTATTTTCGACATGTGCGCTCTTAATGTAGCTTTTGTACTATATGATCTTGTACATGTCTCTACAGGACAATGATATAAAGTTTTTATTTCATTTTGATGTGTTATAACTTCTAAACTTTGATTTTCACTGCCATTATTTAAACTTGATTCACATTGTTGAGACAATACTGGTACAGAAGCATTCTGGGAAATAAGTTCTTCGTTAAATTCTATAGATTTTTTTTTCAATTTTATAACAGGATTTACTCTAGAACAATGAGATTCTGTTGTTTTAACACTTTTTTGACTATTTGAAGATTCGCGTGAATTTCTTTCTATGTCTTCTTTATTTTGATGTTTCTTAATGTGTACATACAAACTACTTTTTGCAGAAAATTGTGTATTGCATATGTAACATTGAAAGTACCTCCCTTCCTTGTGCGTCAATCTATGTTCTTTAAGATGTTCAGACCTCATAAATGCTTTTCCACAGGAAGCAACATCACATATAAATTTCCGTTCATTAGTATGCTTTTTTTGATGCCTTTTCAACTTACTGGATGATGAAAAAGCCCACTGACAGCCTTGAAAAGTGCAAAGATATGGCTTACACCCAGTATGAGAACGTATGTGTGCTTTGAGTCTACACGGTTTATCAAATACCTTACCACATCCAGGCCATGAACACTTTACATCAATTTCTTTATAACTGTGACACCTTTGATGTGATGTTAATGCATTACTACTATAATACCTTTTACCACAACCTTCATGCTTACAAACATAAGGAGCATGGCTCTGATCATGTGATTTCATATGCAATTCAAGTGCTCTTTTTGTTTGAAATTTTTCCTGACAATTTGGTACTTGACACGTGATTCTATTTGGACGACTATGTAATTTCTCATGACTCCATAAATTATATATGGTAGTAAATCTTCTATTGCAACCTTCTACTTTACAAACATAATCCTTACGTTTTGAATGAGTTTCTTTATGTCGTTTTAATTTAAATTCAGAATAAAATGCCCATGTACATCCCTCGTAGTCGCACTGAAATAAAGTAAATTACATTATTATACGAATAAGAAAATGTATTGCAAATAGAATTTTAATTATATACTTCATACCTTAAATGGTCTTACTCCGTAATGTGCTAGCAAGTGTCCTTTTAAAGCATAAAGTCTACTAAATTGTCTATTGCAATCTTCTCGTGGACATAACCACAGTTTCCCGTGCTCACTTATTGAAACAGGTTGCAAATTGTCATCTGTAACGCCTAATTCTGCTAAAGCATTAGATATTATCATTTCATGTTGACTGCTTGGATTCATTTCAGAATTACACTCGGAAGTTCCAGTCCAACCAGAGGAAGTATCTATTCTTGGCAGTTTTGGAAAATTTCCGGTAGCTTCAATCAATTCTGACGTTTTACCCTGATATATTTGTTCCTCTGTACCAGTATTAATAACAATTTGCGTCATATTAGAAATTTTGTCGGTTGATATAGCAACAACAGCCATTACGCCTTCTTTTGATTCTACTTTTTTATCAAATTTTTCGGATAATTTTCTACGCTTTTTGATAATCCTTGGTTCCAATTTTATTCGTGCCTTTGATTTCAATTGTTCCATAATTATATTGCCCGAGTTAGCTATATTAATAATACCTGTTGTATTTTCTATAACATTATCATTATTAAGTACATCTGTAAAAGAATTTGATGTACTTTTGGGAGAGGAAACGATATTATTAGATTCTGAAGTTTCTTGCATAACATTAATATTTTCAAAATCGATAGGTAAATCTGCCATTTCTACAGAATCATCCGCCGAAGTATGATTCTCTGTTTCTTCTCCTTCGCCTATCAATTGGACTCCTTCTTCTGACTGAATAGATGTATCAGTTAGATGATCATTGGGTGTATTCAAAGATGTTGGAACACTGGTGGATGGTAAAATTTCTCCAGCTACCATCATATCGTCAGGTGAAAGAGATAAAGGATCAAGTTGATCCAATCTAAATTCAGGCAATATGAATTCATCATCCTTTTCACAGACCTCCAACAGCTTCTCAGTCTGAAGTTCTTGAAGTATGGAATGCTCATAACTAAGGTTAAGTTTTTTATCGGACAAATCTATATCTATAGAGAGTGCATCAGGATCCTTTCCCAGGAAAGAGTGTGGCAATTCGTTGTTCAAATATCTTTCGACGCCTTCTTCTACCTCCGACTTGATAACGTCTAAGTCCATGCTTGACACGGACTCGGTTCGTGTTTTCAACCATTTCTCGATGTCGGCAACTGTCTCAACGTCTGTTGTCTTTTCGATTAAATCAACACCACTATCTGAAAGAACACCGTTGTGAATCGACGAATAATCTAAGCACCAAACCTTTTCGGTATAACCGATCGTTTCCTCGTTATTTCTTGCTTTCACTTTTCCTTTTTTATCGTCGATTCGTCTTTTTCTATCGTCCGGCGAAGACGTTAGAGAATTCGTATCGTTTTGTTCAGATGTAATTGAACCGATACCTACGTCCACGTGAGTCCAAACACGAGCGAACGATGGGGCTCGACGGTTACGAAAGATTCGCGGGACTTGTTTTGACTTAGAAGCGGAGGGAACTCCTTTACGAGACATTTGACTGCCCCGTAGCTCTGATTCTATAGGGGTCCACACTAAGCGACAATGCCGCCATCGAGGGCGGTCTCAGCCAACAAAGTCGATTCTCACTCGGCTGGCAAAATGAATGATACGATCATGAATATTTATTCCATCGGATAACTTTTTTTATTTTCTTTTTTTTTTATTTATTTTTTTTTCTTATTTTTTATCCTTTTATTTATTTTATCCTTTTTCTTTTTTTTTTTTGTTTTTTCTATTTCCTTATTTTAGCTCTTTCTTAATTTTTAGCTCTTTCTCGACTTTGTCATGAAATTTTTAAATACTGACTCAATATTTATTTTAATAATTATTTCGAAAGTAACCTTTGCAATGAAATAAATATATTATTGGTCTGTATTTACACGTATACGTGTAAGGGTTGATACTCACGAACAAGGGCTTTTTTTTTTTAATTGAAAACAGTTAAACTAGAAAGTAATTAATTTCACAAGATCACAGAATTTCTACTGTTCTCGAATAATCTTTTAATTATGTAAATAACTGTTTTTAATCGTAATCTGTTTGAATTATCTAAAAAAAATATTTTTATAGATTTTTTTAAATCTGATCAATGACGTCAAATATACTTGCAAAAATACTTTTATTGTAGTGCAGGCATATACTATAAATAATACGACGCAATAAAACGCAAAATGTGATAAAATTTATATCGAATGCTCAGTCATGATCGATATAGATCGATTATACATTTTTTTTCTTGAAAGTGTCCAATCGTAATCGACTTATAAAGAAAAGTAATACTTCAATCATGAGAGATATACTTTCGTTATCGAATATTTTCTAATTTATTATTTTTGTTGTTTTGTCAATTATGTTCTAGTTTTTACAATTATGAAATTTAAAATTTTATATATGAAAAATGATTTTACGTATTAGATGGTTTGGTTAGTTTTTACTGGTCGTCTGTTACGTGGCGCCCTCTGTTCTAAGGTATAATTTTAAACTGTGAATTTTTATTGGTTGAGTAAAATTATTTGAAAATTCAGACTTCTTTTTTTTTAATTTCATGATTTTTTGCACTGTATATGAAAAAATTGTTAAATATAGTGAAATACGATTAATTATATTCTTTTTGAGAAAGAAATATTTTTTTAAGTTTACCAATATTATAATACTTATAATATGCGTAATTTTTATTAATTGTAGTAAGATAACTTTTTGTTATTTGTTAAAACATTGAAAAGTAAGTGAACTTTAATTACCGATCTTTTATGTCGTTCAACTGTAAATTATCCTTTTGATCCTTTATCTTTTCATCTGATATTCTTTCAGTTTCACATGTTGATTTTGTTTGTAAATTTTGGCTTAATGAATGTTTGGGATTTCTTATGACTTTTACAAAAGATATTCCATATGGATTCATTTTTGTATTAAAAGGTTGCATTATATTATTAGTCGTAATTCCATCTTTACAAGTGAATGCACACTTTTCTTTCTCCATTGGTCTCATTTCTTTGAATGGAATTGGATTTATTTGAAATTTATTACTTTTGCAATTATGATTTCGACATTGTAATGCAGAATAAGGACGTAATTTCTACAACAGAAGATTCAAATATAAATATCTTGAACTAGACAATGTGATATGCCATTATATCATTACTTTTTCAATATTTGCTATGATTGTTTTACTTAAGACAGCTCTAGGAAGTTTATACAGATGGTGTGGTTTTGGCTGTGGTTCAGGACATTCATGGTTTTTAGTTTTAATTAT